AGGTGGTAAAATACAGGAACAAGTTCACCACTTGAGAAATGTGAGAGTATTTACCCTTGGAAGATTCTGTGTGCGAATCCCATCATGGCCTTCAAGGCAACAACGTATGGTGCCCAATAGCGAAATACCTTGACCCAAGCAATCGCTCCGAGCGACAAACAGTCAGTCGTTTCAATGAACCGGAGGAGCAGCTCATCTATAGCCCAAGGAACAAGCAGATAAACAAGAGCATATGATAAAATCTCTCCTGCCAAAGCTCGAAAGAATCCACCATAGGACTTGGTATTGCGAGGGTTGACGAGTGGGTCATGATAGCGCCGATGTATGCGATCTCGCATCTCTTGCCAAGTTTCGCTTCGGTGCGGAATAGCTGCTAAAGATTCTTTTTGCAATTCTTTCGCATTGGTTGCTGCCTCTGAATCTTTGTATTCGGGCATAGTAGAAAGCCGAGAAGAAGTTTTGACAACGCGTTTGAAACAAATGTGTGTGATGTTGGTTCAGTAATGGGTGATGCAACGCCGGCGAGGAAGCCTTTGGAAAAGCAAAAGAACTGAGAAAAAGACGAGGCACTCGCTTCTATATCGCACAGGTTCAGACGGCCTAATGACTGGACAAAGATGTTTCAGCGAGTGAAACAGTGGGGCAAGACATCCCCTACCATACATTCATCAGCCACTCAAACGGAAATATGGCTAAACAAACATGTCTTGTGAGCTATACATGGACTTGTGTGTTTGAGACACCTCGTTACAACCAGTTGCGGGTGCAATGATACAAATTCCGTCTTGAGGGACTGTTAGCCCTCATCTCAGACGCCTTGCTTCCAACATGGCGACCGAGCCGCTTAGGGCACTGGAAAAATTTCAGGCATTGCTTCGAGACGTTCTAGTATGTCAATGAATGCTAATCTACTTGGCGTTATGTTAACACGTTAGTTTATCACGGCGCTTGAGGAAAACTCCGCGCAATCTCTACCGCCTGACTGCAAAGCTGTCTTGGCAGCTCTTGTTTCCAAATTCATTCCCGACACCATCGAAAACCCGCCTCGAAAGAGGACCAAAACTGCCAGAGAAGGTCGTCAAAGTGCGGATAAAGGCGAACGATTAGGCCCAAAAAGCCCCTTCACTACCCTCTTACGTCTACAGGAGCTGATGACATTTACGATACAGCTCAGCGTGTTTATGAACTTTTCAGTCGGAGACGTGCATTGCATCCTTTACCTCTTGGAATCGTAGTGACGTTTGTATATCCGTCATCTTCATGAGCCTTGTCGCAGGCCTTGGGACAACTCGAGTCGTCGCGGGACTCGCTCCCATTCTTGCAAGCTTCTCGTACGCATTCCTTACCACTAGCCTCATACCGCTCGCAAAGATCAGCTCGGTTGTCGCACTGCTTCTCATCAGAGTAGTACTGGTTGCAAGGTACATGGTGCCTGTACCATTCAAAGCTACGAATCTCATCCACGAGCTCTGGGGTATTTGCAATCCCTTGAAACGTGCAGACCTTTTTTTGCTTAATCCAGCAAGGCGCGCAAGAGATAGTTCTAGAATTGAAGTTGTACAGAATCTCCGGGAGGAAGAAACGGCACTCTTCTTCGTTTTGGCAGTGGTCGCAGCGCAGTGTGTAGCTCGTTGCAAAACCAGACAATGCCATGATATTCCGCAATGACATCCCGTAGGTATCATCTGAGATCAAGGCCCAGTGGGCCGTAGGTCTTGCGGTAGATTTCGAACAACTCTTTTCTTTCATGACGTCCTTTTGCTTTTCATCGAGTATTTTCTCAATGCGATTGCTGGCCATTGGCAGTGTGTTTGGCGGAAGGGTCATCAAAACTCGACGCATTATGCTGTACATGTCAGGGCCGATGTAAAATAAACAGCGCTATGCGAGATCATAGCAACCGCACTCAGATTACTTACTTGCGAATTTCAGGAGAGTCGGTGTTACGTACTCTCGGACTGCCGTGGTTCCATTGCCGTTGAAGCAACCCATTTGGCCCATAGATTTGGCTGACATATGGTGAGCCTTCCTCACACAAAAGGGTATCGAGACGACCATGTACTGAGCCATCGTCGAAATCGTAAACTTGATGGAGTGGCTGCGCATGCTGGTTCAAAAAGGGAAGCTGTATGAGCGAGCTCCCAGGCTTACCCCCACCCTGACTTTCGCAAACTGACTCAACGGTCGGCTTCCAATCTCTCGTTTCCGATTCATCATCACAGGTGCTGCAGCCATCGAATTTGGCTAACCAATCTGTATCTCCTGAAGGCAAGAGGATGACCTTGTCAAGAAAAGGCTCTTGATGTGCAGATGGAGAGCTCATTGTCGCAGCAACATAAACGAAGGCCTGGCCGAGACACGGCGGTACCTTGATCATCCTAATGCGTGCAGGATCGAATATTCGCGAAGACGATGTACCCGGAGTCCAGAAGTGGGGAATGAATCTTAGCATAAGCGCCTCTGAAGATCCTGATTTCGCACCATCCACAAGAGAGACTGGCAGGATTCTACTAGATCTGTATCTAGATTGATCGCGCTCTGTCCAGTCGTGTCGGATCATTGCTGCGTCTCCACAAGCATTGCCCTCTAGAAGAATGCAAGCGTGTTTTCCTAGCTTGAAACATTGGTTGTTGATGGCATCGCAAAATGCTATACGGAACATTTCATTCCCGGCTGCCCTCAAGGATTGACTCTGGCTCTTCTTTGGCTCTGTTGGCTGACTCTCTTCATCCAACAGGCTGTCCTCGTACACATCCAAGGATCGCCACTTGGCTCGAAGTCTCTGTTTGGCCAAAACTCCGTGGCGGCGTATCGTGGTAGCAATCGTAGATAGTGCACCAGGGCTCTTGAGATTGACACGAACTGCTGGCGTATTACTTCCAGCTTTGTGTCCTCCCCTTGTGTGAATCGTGACCCAATCGCCATATTGGTGAAGAAGAAAATGCCAATTATGCTCCTCTTTTGCCCATTCGGGCTTTAGGCTTAGAGAGACATTGTCAGAATAAAATTCTCTAAGTGCATTCACCTTGTGCTCGATGAGATACGTTGTAGACGACGCGTTGTCCCGAAGCACTAGGTCGCATGCCAAGGGTTGTACGAGATTGAACAAGAGCTCCATATCACACTCTGTCCGAGAGCGAAGAGTCTGAGCCAGCTTTTGGATGATACCAGCCGAATACTTTTGCGTTTCCCCCTGTATCATCATCAACTTTTCAAGGTTGGGATCAGGTGCTTGCGGCGTCCAACCTCGTAATGTGACGCCGTTAGAGGGATTGGTATAAGGAGATTTTCCGTTGAACGCATTTCGAAGTCTCAGCAGTGCTTCAAAGAGGTCGCACTCATGTACCGCAAATGGCGCCAAGATATTGCTGACGTGCAGAGGCTCACGCGGCCGCAATCGATGCGTTTTGGTCGACTTGTCTTTATCAGCACCCCACGAGTCCTGGTATGCCAATCTGACATTTGCGTATAGGTCTGTGTAGCTCCTGATGGGTAGCAAGCACAGGATTTTGGTATTTCCAGGTGGCGCGACTATAAACAAGGGTGCAATTTGGTGACGTTGTCGAGCGGTGATGTTGAGCTTGATGTCAATTGGTACGGTTTGCAGATTCTGCTCTTGCTGATGCTCATTGACCCAAGTCCATACAGCAGAAGGGTCCATGTTCATGGGGAATCCCTCTGGCGGATCGAAGATGAGTCCTCCATCGAGCTCGCTGAAATCCGGCCCTGATGATCCCCAGTTAGCACTTTGAAATTCGTCGTATTTGATATCCATAAAAGTACCTCTAATCACGCCAATCCGCTGTCCGTGATCCCTGAATCCCTGGATGCAGGCTCCGGCTAGCATACGGAATGCATTGCACTCCGTGATCCATCCGCTAATGGCAGGGAGTCGACCAACCGCGGCTTTTGGCTTTACTTCTTTTGAGCTTGGAGGTGTCATGGCAGCTGATGCGTCTTTCTATCAAAGTTAGTACTAGGAAGTATAAGCTAATATGACTGGCAGGTTTGTACTCGAAAGGCTTAAAAAAAGCGTGGAAAGGTTGAGATTAAAGTTGAAGTTGAATTTGAGCTTGAAGTTACTTTGCAGAGTTCCAGAGCTATTAAAACCAAAGGACTTAGAAGACCACCACTGTTCGATCACCAGAAGGTTCTTGCATCTGCTTGAGAAACGCTAAGACCAACAAGTTTGAATTGTCCAGGCCAGTCACGGATTGGAAAGCTTTGGTCCCTACCATCACGAAGCATGCTTCCGTCAAGCGCTTCAATTGCCAAGCACAGCCAGGCTAGACCAAGACTGCGTATCATGCAACGCCGCTATAGTGATATGCATGCAGTTCCAGACCAATAGTCTAAGGTTGTGTAAGCAGCACATAGCCGAAACTCCTTTGCATATGCAGGTTATCCTGTTTGTGTACAGATCACTTCCTGCTTGATAGTCCTGTTCTGGTGGTTTCAGCCTCACTGCCAAGGCCAGCAAAAACAGGCAACGAGACCGTCTAGTGTTTATGATTGACTACGTCTTTCAAAAATACTCTGTATAAGAAGATAATTTTCAAGGAATACATGCAAACCGAGAAAATGCTGAGGCCAACATGGGACGGAGCGGTCAAACACATCCACGACGCATGTTTGCAGCCGTTTTGCAGCCCCGCCGAGACAAAAGCATCGCTTGGAAGTTCCCGTGTTGGTACGACTAACACGTAGACTCGCATGTGCGGCGGCGAGATTTCGTGAAGATGCTATGGTGCAGAAAGGCACGCGGCATACGATATGGAAACCCGAATGATGAAGTCCAACTGCAGGTAAAACATGAAGTGAATCGTTTGATACTTGCAGGCGGCGCGTCTCCGCACTATATCGTGTTCGTTGATGCTCGTCTGGGCTTTCATTGGTTGGGTGTTGGGTGTGTATCGAAAAACTCAACTCCCGCCCACCACGACGCAAAAAACACCACAACAACGCCAAAACAACGCCAAAAAAAAAGTAGCAAAAGATATTGACATTGACGCGGTTCGAACGCGTGCCCATTTCTGGAGTAGAGATCTCAGCAAAGCTTAAATCTACCGCCTTAGACCACTCGGCCACAATGTCGGGGGAAGAACAATACATTTACTAAGTTTGAAAATCAAATCTCCTATAGATAGCGAAATTTCCAAAGCAGTCAGCGTATTACAGCCTCAACATTACAGGATAAATGGGTGTAAGCTTGGGCCTCAGTCTGACAGCGATTACAACACCAAAATTCAAAAAGCTGCCACTACACTATACTTGTCCTTTAAAATTTGTACGCAGTTTTCTATAGTATTATGGCACTATACGTATAAATTCTTGGAGAAAACAGCTGCGATTGGATACTTTAGAGGCCGGATAGTCTGGAGTGGTGTTGGGGTGCGGGGCCGAGACTGTAGGTTTGCGTAGCTTCGACCTACCCCCATCACCCCACCAGCATCGCGGTATGGAGACTGCGGACGATCCTGTCAGCAAGGCATCAGGCGCCAAGACACTGCTCAGGCTACGAGAGATTCCTACTTCGCAGCGGTACTTTTGGCGAGAAGAGCTTAGCAGTCATATCCGGCAGCAAGTCCGCGACAGAACCCATGATGGCGCCAACGATCGGCCGTTGCTCCCCAACGAGATTGACGCGCTAGCCTTGAACGAGATTGCGGTGTTGCGAGGCGCTGGATTCTTCATGTTTCTACCGAGTCGGAACAGCTGGAATAAGCAGATGTTTGATCCAAAGAATCGTGGCCCTGCGGCCGACAGCCTGAGGTATACACATGGATCAACTGGCCTGGTCGTTGCTCACGATCCCATAGGGCATCGGTTCCTTCTCTCGTATTTATGCGTTATACATGGACCGAGTCTGCCCAGACCGACTACTTCCAATCGCCCCACCGATCGCGCTTTATGGCGTGCGACTTTTTACTCAACCCGCCTCCAGAGGCCACGCCGCTATACTGCATACAAGTTGCGTCAGACTGTAGATATCCACTCTACTCAACAGAGCAGGCGTCGTTCATTATACTTCGCGCAGCTCCGCTATACTTTGGCAAAACGGCAGATCTTGGCGCTATTATTGGCCGCCCTCCTCGCAAGCGTACAGGCGTTGATTCTGCGCAGCGGCTTGGCCAGCCACGTGGAATTTGGGATGGCGGTTCCAAAGATGAGCGGCTGGGACGATTCGAGCAACCGACCCTCGAACACCTCTATGACGCCGTTATAGCTGCTTGCCATCCTGCGACGACGCCGTCAAGTATGACCTGTGGGCAGCTCCTTTGGTTGCTACCGCGACCATCACAACCAGAGCTGGGTATTGACTTGGGCTTTGATTCTTCCGAGCCCCAGTCGAGGCTGGATGTCCGCGTACATCGATTGCCGTCGCGAGCCAAGGCATCAGATCAAGCGGACGAACAATGAGGGAATGCCAGATGCCGACATTTGTGCTTGTCTTACATTTTAAAAACATACAAAGCGCATGCGAGACACTCTGAATTTCCACTCTAGACAATTGAGACATGAAATTAGTGCAATAAAAGCCCTTGGAGTTGCTGAACTCTACCAGGCACCAATGTCATCCTCTACCCACCTCCCCTTCTTTGCAGAGTTGGTGCCACTGTCTCCGTGTGCACACTCATCGACACTGCTACTGCCCAACATGCGGTACGTGAGATTGAGTACTGAATGCACCAAAGATGGCAAGGTCATTTCAAAGTCCAGGCTTGTCCGATTCACCTTTGGAGCCGTCGCAGGACGCCACTGCCTGTCCTTTGGTACGTCTCGATCAAGTGACTATATACTGCCCTCGTCCGAGGGAGTAGCACCACACCACTTTATCTTGTTCATCAATGATCATGATCCCCATCTCCAACTGAGATCTACATGCTCTCAAGGCCTTTATGTCATGTCTCACTTCCAGGAAGATGTACAGGTGGTTGCTCCAAACGACACGCTCAAGGTCCCTACACCGATGACGATCCGGATCGGCAAAGAACCCGGAATCAAATTCAAGATTCTTCTACCAAACACCACCAGCGAGTACCATGCCTGCCTATCAGCATACCGTTTAACCATCCAACCGCCTGTCGCGCCATCTGATAGGAAAAGACGACAGTCGAGTGCAGCAATCTCAGGGGGCCATCACAAGCGACGACAAGATGCGCCAGTTGTAGAATCGTCTTCACCTCGGGCTCCATTTGAGCGCCCTCGACCAACCATAAGCTGGTTCTTACGCATCTCACATTACTTTTGGAATACCTAGAGGATTAGCAGAACGTACCATAGCCAACGCGTATAGAGAAATATTGATCCTTGTGTTACCTTGCTTGTTGTGCTAGCACGTGTGTAACAGTGATTCGTGGCAGCCTGTTTTCACCCATCTTTTTCAACACTGCTACCCTACCTCACTGTATACTGCCAACGCGTATCAAAATCATGATGCCTACCGAGTACGACTGTCAACCTCTTTCACAAATTTCCTCTTTTATTACCGGGCGTTCTGGCGCACGATTCGAAGCTGAACTATTTGCGGTCCTCTTCGAGTGTCCCTTTGTTATCCGGTCCTTTGAGTTTGCACCTGCGGATGGTGCAATCTTTGCAACCACCGATACTACGCCACCAATAGGAACCTTTGGTGAGCGATTCTGGCAGCTCAATGAGCATGTGCGCAGATATCGCCATGGGCCTAAACACTCTGAACGGCGCCTGGTTCTGTTTGATGCAAAGAGCAAGATATCAGGCAAGGCCGAGGACCAGATATACAAAACCTCGGTGAAGCAGCAAAATCGAGTGGCATTTTATATTGGCATATGCGCTGCTAATCCCGATTACGTAGAGCTGATCCCAAACTACCGCGCCGGGACTTTGCTCGACAACAATGAGAAGCGCAACGTTGCCGTGAACATTTCACGGAAGCCGCGTTTGCCACCTTCAGCGTACGACTCGCTCAGCCCATGCAACAGCCCGTATCGAATGCCAATCCGACTCCTCCCAGAAGCGCTCGCACGTATCCAACGATGCGCGCAAGGACAAGGCGCTTACAGCAATCCCTGGACTCGGGTGACGTTTCATGACTGGATCCCATCTGTTGAACACGACAATGACGGACTCATGCCAGAAGAGAGTTCCCAGCACTTTACTTCGTTTAGAGGACTTGTACAATTTTGGAAAGGCATACGCGCAGCAAAGTGGCTCCATGGCATACCCATGGACTTTGACTTCATGTGGCTACAACCGCACCTTGCCGACTTCAAGCTTTTGGTGCCAGACTCAAAAAGTCACAACCAGCGCCGACAATTATTTGTTCAATACAAGATTGATGCGAAATACCGCTCGCCTGCTTCGCCACTGGCCAAAGTGGCTATTGCTCGAAATGGTCGAAACGGCGAGGTAAACTACTACTTCAATGACTACGAACGGTAAGACTTGTCGTCTCTACAAAAAAAAACAGGCTGCTTAACAATACGGGCTAGGTTTGATTATCTCCTGTATCAATTCGACTACCAAGACCGACAGAAACTGGCGTGGACACAATTCTTCTTTTTACCTGAAAGTGTACTGCCAGATGAATTCTACACGACAGAAGCCAAGGATGCTAGTTTTGATCGAGAAGACTTCAAGCCTTATCGGATCGCTCTGGATGACTCGGGAGATTGGGTGAAGGAGGTGTACAACATTATACAAACTACTCCAAACCCCCGCCAAATTCATCATAGGCCCCGACGACGCTCTCAAAACCTTTTCAAAAAGTCTGAAGATGAGCCCAAAGATGCAATTGCAGCTCCGCCGACATCCCAGCTAGACCATTTCACCAACCGACTGTTCTACACCATCACAGCCCAGTGTGCTGTTCGTCGTTCTGGTCTTCTCATAGTACTGTCTCGTGGGCATCCTTTTGGAGACTTGGCTTACTGTCGGTACCGGTGGACTGAGAGCCAAAAAGATGCGTTCCTCGCAAGCAACACACCTCCTTGCACCATCACCCAGCTGCCTCCCAACACTCCCGTCGTACCAATACACCTATATTCTCGCAGCCAAGAGGGCACGTCTCGTGGGCCGAGGCTTACAACCGCGGAATTCCAGAGACTCAATCAAAGTCCTCAAGACCGGCTGCTGATATTTGACATTTTCAACCAAGACGGGCTAGGTCTATATAGTCCTCTGCTCGTTATACCAACAAGCGACATTAGTCCAACGCATGCGCAACAAGAGTTGTATACCTCCAACCGTAAACTCAAAAAGGATGCGGACTTTGAAGAACGGGTGCCTCTGCTTGCTGAACTGATACACACCGGGTTCAACCCAGCCGACTACATAGTAGGCTCGGGCGGCCCAAGGATATTAGACAATCGAAGCGATGCATGGAGTGGACTTTGGGTTTTGCTTGACAAGTTTGCAGGCATTAACCATTTCACGCACCCCTGTAATTACAATCGCCGGCCTAGCAACTTTCGGGTTACCATACAGGCTTTGCACCAACGTCTGGCTGAAAAACACGCACGCATGTTCGCTGAGCCGATGCCTTTTGTTGATGTCGACAATCAGGAAGAAGACGCAATACCTTGAACACGGAATATCTATGGCAGTCTTATACAAAGTAATATACATTCTTCTTCAATTCCTTATCGGCACTGGTTCAACCAAATCCCACCAAGTCTCTGCACTGGCTGCGCTTTCATCAGGGATGAAGATACCAACCATGGCGTCACCGTCCTCGATAAGCTTCCTCCCACGGCCGAGAAATGTTGGCTTTAGGGTCTGACCATGCTTTCTAAGATACCCAATGAATCTCTCGTGATGTCCATCTAGTATCCTGGCAAGACTTTGAGCCAGGTTTTTGTGGCGCATGGCCGTCATGCGAATGTCAAACAGATTTGAACCACGGAGCGAGTTGACAGAGTCTAGGCGAAGACCCATTTTATGCACTAGGCCATGATATCGCCTTGCGGCATGCTGCCAGAGTTCACGAGGCAGACGCGCCATTTGTACGAAAAGGAGCCCTCTAAAACGCTCAATCTGAGAAAGGTATCTTTGTCCCTCCATCGGGCGGTATTCTGACCGTACTAAATCGGCAAGGCCGTCTATCCAACGCTTAA